CACACACACACACACACACACACACACACACACACACACACACACACGCATATATAAACTCACACAGTCCCTGTGGGGGTTGACAGCGAGAGCAGCCAGCAATCTATTGAAATGGGATGCAGTAGATGTCAATGACATGAAAGTAGCGTCACAGCCTTGTGAAAACACTGAGTTGTCCTAGCTGTTGTTTAATGAGTTGTCCTGTTGGTCTCGTCACAGAGAAAACCAGCTGACTAAAGGAATAGAGGTTGTATGAATATTTAGTCAAGGCATTGCAAAGCATATGTATGTGCCCACGTCAAGCTTCATCATGCTGCACTTAATTACTGTATACATTAAAGTAGAGCTGTCCTCTGAATGTCATTCTTTTTCAATAAAATAGCTCTTTTCAAACAAAATAAGCCAGAAGCCAAAGTTCAAGAGGAATTCTCTTGTTTGCTTTCCTGCCGGGAGTTAGATGAGAAGATTGATACCACTGACCATGTCTGTACGGTAAATATGAAGCCAGCACCTTGTTAGCTTAACTTAGCATAATGGCTGGAAACAGGGGAAACAGGCAGCCCGCTCGCCCCAAAGGGAACAAAATCCACCTACCAGTACCTCAAAAGATAACTAATTAACATGCAAATGTTTGTTTGTATAAAAATTACAACTTGTGATTTCATGAGGGTTTATGAGCCTGAACTGTTTCTTGGCCGGGAGCAGTGACTTCCTGGAGTTTCTGATAGTTGACTGTGACAACAAAACTGTTCTTATGTAAAGTTAGGAACTAACCAAACAAATAAGTAAATCAATTATGAATCAGACAAGACTTTCTATGTCAGTACTTGACAGTTTTTTGAGACTAGATGCACATTTCATTCCACAGCCCTGCACAGCACGTGAGAGCTGAAGAGTGCTGGTTTACAGTCAGCTGGCATAGGAGGAAATTGAGGTATCAGTAAAAAAGGGGACATTCCTGGTCCGCTCCAAATGTTGGATTTTCCAGGAGGTTTTCCAGTCACTGACAGTTATCCAACGGCGGTCAGTGGTCAGACCCGCAGACACTGGAAATACCAAGAATGCCGGTGGTAGAGACACAGAGATTAGTCTGGCCAGTGGACTACTGTCTGTCAGGATCAGTGGCCGGTTCAGCCTTCACTCTTTGACTTGGACTTAATATAATAATTAGGGGCAGCTCTGATCTCTCATCAGTGCAGGTCATTTTGACTTAAGCATGCCGTTTACTGAAGTATATTTTTGGAAAATCCAGGCCCTCAGTCTGTTCTGATTTCTCATTGTCCCAAATGTAGAGAGAAGAGTAAGGTTTTCCCTCTCTAAACTTCCCTTCCTAACCCACCTGCTGCTTTGGCTGTATGAACAGTGGAAGGCCATTGTTTCAGTTGAACAGAGGGCAGAGAGCAGAGAAGAAGGGGCCTGTTATCTCACACTGAAAGCAGCAACACTTTGACTGACAATGTGGCCCAGAATGTGAGGGAGGAAGAGGAGGAGGGAAGTGACGGGAGCCTTGATTGTAGTAGAGCAGTTAACTTACTACCAGGCTTCAGTGTAGGCCACAATATCTGCTCAGCAAAGGTGTCACAGCTTCAGAGTGAAATCACGGCATATAACACACACAATGCCACCGACACACACACCCACACCCACAGCGCTACTAAATACAGCCAGGCAAATAAGTTCCACAGCAGCTATTACATAAGCAGCGACGCCTCACTTAAACTGTGCCAGCTTCGATGTATAATTCACTTCCACTCATCTGAGAAAATATCTGACGAGGCAAAGAAGCACATGTGCACACGTATTCAGACGCACTGTCCGTTTCGCTGTAAACTGGAGAAAGATGGAGGGGAGGGGGGGAAACAGACTGGCGTGGAAAACACTCATTCAGCAAACTGAACAGAGGCCAGGCCGACGTCTAATATCTCGCTGTCTCTCGGTCTTCCTGTGTTTCTGTCTCTCTCTCTCTCTCTCTCTCAGTCTTCCACCATGCTTCTCAACTCGAGGCTTTTCATAAATACCTGGCATGACATTTAGCTCGACGGGATTACTGGAAAACAACGAAGCCGAGGACAGGGAGTCAAAATATAAGCTGAATCCTGTTTCGAATCCTTTAATGAATGTTTTTTGTTTCCTTTAAGACTATCTAAGTGAGAAAGAGAGAGATTTGATGTGTTGTTTGTTGGTCCACCTTAACAAATCTGAATATTTTACCAACTTGGACCTGGCTATCGGACCCGAAGGAAAGAAGTGGAAAGGGATGGGAAACCAAAGGAGAAAGAGGTCCCACTACTTTTTATTTGGAGCTGCTTAATGCTGTACATATACACACATACAGCCACACAGGAAGCATGAGTCAACACATCTGGAAAGTGTTACGTATGTGACCTGCAACACGTGAGACACATTTACTTCATTTGTTTTGTTCAGAGCAGATGAGGTAACACGTCACTCTCCCTCCCCTTGAGCTAAACTTTACGTCAACGTTTGCGTCTCGTCACCTGCTCATTTACAGCCGCCATGTTTATAGAGCGTAACGCCACTCCTTCAAAACACCAAAACCCAGTCTGGGTAATTACAGTCTTCTCTCAAACAAAACCTCAACATGACACAGTCAAACAGACAGCTACTACAAAGAGGTGAGTGAACGGATGGCCCTCTATCCACCCCGACTGTAAACATACCATGCTGACACATCACTCTTGGGCACATAACAAAACTTGATGAGAAACTACAATATGCGGCCCAGGGTACACGAGGAGTCTTGTAATTACACGCGGAGGGAAGACAGAAGAGAAACAACTGCAGCCTGTGTCTCCCGAAGTGCTTCATCATCAAAAGAAGCCCACGATTCCCCTTTGAGTCTTCTGGATAAAAACATGTTTTGTATTGGTCACACTTCTGAGATGCAGCCTAATTGTCTGCTCTGGTAGAAATCTATCTGCTGCCTCATGCTCTTTCTTATCTTGAATGTGTGAGTGTGTGCGTGTGTGTGTGCAGACAGATTGAATAACACCTTCCTCCTCCTCTTTCTTCTTCCTCCTCCAGGCCAACCGTCCAGAGGGTGGGACAGCTTTTCGAAAGGCTGACATTTTAAATCAATACCCCCCCAAATCCATAATGAGCAGATTACAGGGTCGGGATTAGCAAACCTGGGCTCACACCAAAAAGCTCAGCTGGCGGGTCTGTTTGTCCTGGCTTGTGCAGGCCAAAGGTCTCCAGAGACATTTAGAGCAGCTAACAACTTTAGAAAACTAACTTCAAGCTAATGCCAGTCAGCTGACTCTGAATCATCCAGCTACCTTCAACCTCTGGCAAAATGACAGGAAACCAAGTTTTCCAGGGATCATTATTTGTCCAGTTAGATCTCAGTTCATCCAGATTTTAGAAGACGACAACTTTTTGGCCTTCACTGACATTCCACAACTAGTTTCCAGTCCTGTTAAAATCAGTGTTGGCGCGTTAATGGGCCTGCCAAGCAACTTTTGTCTCAAACTCTTTCCGTTACAAACCTCCCATTATTTCCGCAATTGACACCCTCTTAAGCGGCTTCGCACTGACTCAAGGTGCTCATGAATACAAAGTTTCCTCAGGCAAATTTGTCTTAAAATGTGAACAGAGCCAAACTGGGATAAAGGGCAGGGTAAAGAGAGCCTGAGTTTGGAGAATTTAGGAGGCACACACATTATGCAGACACATGCACCAGCACACACTCTCTTCCTCGCTCCACACTCACCCCAGTGAGAGCTCTGCATCGCTGCCTCCACTTGTCTCTGTCCCTCGGGGTAAAAAAAAAAAAAAAAAGTACAAATCACTCCAGTCTCTGCTGGCTCAGGTTCTCCCCGTCTCTCCTTCGTCTCCCCTGTCGTCTACCTCTTCTCTACAACACTCCAGCTTCCTGCAGCGTGCCAGGACCTCATATCCTGACACAAGGACTTTCAAATGGAAGCCCTCCTCCTCCTCTCTCTTCTCACTTCACTCCACTGTTCCTCTTCTCAGCTTTCCTTCCCTGCTGTCTGCCTTAGCACCGCCTCCCCCTCCTCCTTCTCCTCATTCCTCCCTCCCTTCTCTCACTTTTGTCTGCCAGCCCCCCTGCCTCTGGTTCCCCTCTTTTAACACACACACACACACACACACACACTACTCTCCTCTGCCTCTCTCTCTCCACCCCTTTCTCTTTTCAGCCCGAGCTTCATCCATCCCCTTCTCTTTCACACATTCTGCAACGACACAATCCTGCGTCAGATTGAGCTTTTTTTAATTTTATTTTATCCACTCTTTCTGTTTGGTGTGTGTGTGTGTGTGTGTGTGTGTGTGTGTGTGTGTGTGTGTGTGCGCGAGCTGAATAACCCAGAGGGGCATTCAGGGGAACACGTCCTCTCACCCAAATGTTCAGCATCTATCCTTTGGCTACATACAGCAGTGCAATTATCAAACAACATTGACTACATTAGGAGCTGCAGCCGCTACAGAGGGAGGAGGGGGTCAATTCACTCAAATGGAGTAAATTACATAACATGTTTCTGCTCATCTTGTGCCTGCACACTCTACACGCTCTATTGTGCAGAGTATTAATCAGCAGGTAACAGAATGAGTGGAGAGGGATTCAAAAGGTTTTGCTTGTATTTTGAGAGATGTGTTGATGCTGTTTGTTTGCAAATAGCGATTCATTATCAATTAATCTGTTGATTATACATTATTCTACTTTTGTGGCATGTGACACCATCAGAAGAAGCCTTGTTGTGACCTCTCATCATCATTGTTCTCAGGATGTTTCTCTTAAAAAAAAACAACCTATGCAGCTGGAGGAGGTAGGTATTATTTCATAAGAAAAAAGCAACAATTTGACAAATTACATAAAAAATTAAATACTATTTTGTGTGAAAGGAATGTTGTCAATTTGACTGAAAACTGAAATATCTCAGAAACTAGTGGATAGATCTCCATGAACGTTTGTAAATATAGCTATTTTTCCCAGAGGATGATTGCTAATGACTCTGGTGAATTGAGGAATTATAATTGCATTCTTTCTAAAAGCGAGCAGGAGGCGTCTGCTCTGGTTGGATGGAAGTCTGTGAGAAAATGACTCTACTTCTCACTTGATTTATTACCTCAGTAAACATTGTAAACAAGAGTTTATGATCTCAATCGCTAGTTTCAAGTCTTCTTCAATACAGCAGGATGTTCATTTAGTAAACTATGGTCCCACTTCGAGTAAAATAGATGATAAAGCAGGCTATGCTTTAGGGCGGGGCTACGTTGTGATGAGCAGGTTACTACCATGGCGTTGTTGAGTGTTCGGTTGTACTAAAAGGCTGTTATTCTTTTCCTTCCATAAACCACTTCTTATAAACAGTCCATGGAGGATCCCCTGACTTCTCCTCTAGCCAGAATAATCTTAACTAAGATGGTTAACATGGTAAACATACCTACTATACAGCTACTTACAAATCACACATAGACTGCTCTGCTGTGTGCTACACAAAATGATCCACTTTAGGTTTTACCATTTGTGCTTCTAGGAGGACTGAGTAATGCTGTAGAGGAGTGTGACTGTGCGTCTCTTTACTGGAACTGCCCTGTACCTCCCTCTGGGTCCCACGGTAACAAGCGAGAAGAAAGTTCACTTCTGTTCTCTGACTTGGCACTTTGCTGCCATTAACACAGCCCCCGTCTCCATGCTGAAAATACAGCACCAGAAAGCTTTGAGTCTATTATGTATGTATGTTACAGTGTGTGTGTATGTGTGTGTGTGTGTGTGTGAGAGAGAGAGTCAGCAGGAGTTTCTATTTTATCTTAAAATTATAACAAAGACCTGAGAGATGCTAAAACGCATCTTTGCAGGCTTTAATAATGATTGTTAACATGGTACTAAGTAGGAGTCCTATGTATTTTGAATGTGACCTTGCCTCAGCAGGCAGTGGGCATCGTTGTGAGCCGACTAATGAAGGAAGGGGACAGCTGGGCTGGGACAGGCTGAGCTTGACTGGAGGAAAGACGGAGAGCAGAGCAGACAGGAGATCTGTAATGGAGACGGTGGAAAGAAGAGAGGAAGACAGCTGCTGCTGTGTGGACCACACATTATTATCACCCTACATATCTCACAAACACCGCCCTTTACTGTGAGGCCTTGAAGTCATTGTTGTGGGACTGCTCGTCACCCAAACACAAACAAAAAACTGTGTTGGAGCGAGCCATCAACGATTGATACAAACTAGTTTATAGGGAGGCTTTGCTGAGGAGGGAGTGTAGAGAAAATTTGATGTGATCTCTGACTTCTTTGAGGTATTGCTGTCACCCGGCTGCCGTATGGAACAACACAGGGTTAGCCACAAATATCTGACCCCTTGACCCCTCATCTCTTCCTCCTCTAAACCTTCCTCCCCCCTTGTGACACACACTCCAACTGTCATCCATCTCCAAACCCAATCCCTAACCGGACACTTCAAAGACGGAGGCCAAGACCCCCATTTCCATAAATGTGTGTGCATTTGTGTGTGCGTGTGTGTGTGTGTGTGTGTGTGTGTGTGTGTGTGTGTGTGTGTGTGTGTGTGTGTGACAAAGTGACCACAGCGGGTCACACCAAACTGAGCCCACACAAAGAAGTGAGACCATTGATCAATGTCCCGAGCGCCCAGAAAGACGGGAGAGAAAAAGAACAACACTGAAAGGGAGGGAGAGAGAGAACAAGAGGTGTAGGAAGAGCGGGGGACGTGTGAGTCAGCAAATATTGAAGGTCAACATCGTCAGAGAGGGGTTTTGTCTGCAGAGGGTGTTTTATTTTTTTGTGTGGTTCTTTACCTCAGAGTGCCTCCCAGCGTGCTCCGCCTGAAGGACTGGGGGAAGCTCTCATCCCAGGACCTCGCTCCTCTCTGAGCCTCCCCTCCTGCACTCTGGCCTGAGGGAAAAAAACACAAGGTGTTAATACTGACCTGACCTCAAATTACACTAATGTTTGCAGCATTTATATTATAATAAATTCATTTTTTGGTCACTTGTGTGCAGCTAGAACAAGTAGTTAACACAGCATTGGCCTTTTAGGCTGGGGAACTTGACTTTATTTACACATCCAGCAGTTAAAGAGCAACATTATCATTAATTTGGACCTGTTTTCATGTGCACCTTAAGAATCTAAGCCCAATATTCACTCAACAATTTGAGAGGAGCGAGAGTCAACAGAAACAGTGACGTTGCAGGCCGAACATCTAAATGATGAGGTGAAACTCACTATACAACTCTGTAATGCCGAGGCAGCAACCTCCGGGTCTGACAAGTGAAGCCAATGCAGAAGTCACTTAAACTTGCATTCTTTCTAACAGCCAGCAGGGGGCGACTCCTCCGGTTGCAAAAGGAAGTCTGATTTTATAGAAGTCTCACGTGACCTAGTTAACATAAAATAGTAAAATAGACCATACAGCAGGGTGTGCTTTAGTGCGTGGCTACCTTGTGATTGACATGTCGCTGCCACAGCGCTGGCATGTACGTTTTTGGTGTTTTCGTCTTACACCTTTAAACCTTGAACAGTGTGGTTTCAGTTCTTGAACGTTAATTGTAACCTTTTTGTTCTCGTAAAAATGTCTTAGTCAGAGTTCGGTTGTACTCCACTCCTTGTGTGACTTCTGGTTGCGAAAAAATACAAGATGGCAGTGGCCAACTCGACGCTTTAAAACGACTACGTTCACTTCTTATATTTAGTCTATGCCGAGGGCAGCGACTCCTTTCACGTTCTCACACAGTTTTATCGACTATCGTTCGGTATTAAAGGGCACTGAGTGGTTGAGGTGCCGACGCCATGTCCCCAGTTTGACTCTGGCCAGAGACCTTTGTTTCACGTCATCCCTCATCTCTATCTCTGTGACTATTAGTTCGATCAATAGTTAAAGTCTATCTTTGTGGAACCGGCCCCTGAACACACAATGACAAATACAACCCAAAATACCAAGCATCTAATGATGACCCCAACTCTAACATGAAAATGATAATACATTGTGCATTTTTTGATACAAACTCGAAACTCACATATTAAACATATGAATGTGAGATTCTGTCGTTGCATGTGCTTCCTGCTTCAAAGTGTGGAGAACGAACGACTTCTCTGACTCATAAAAAGGGGAGAAGAGAAAAAAGAGAGACGAAATTATAAAAGGAAATGAGGTAAAAAGGCAGTAGAGCTTGGTGGTATATTGATTTTGGTTATAATGTAATATCTTGAATCAGTGTTTCCTGGTTTGTGCTGCATACGAGTTAATCAAAACAAATCTCTTGAGCTTATCTGAGTTCAGGTGAGCAATGTGTGCATTTACTTGTCATATCCACAGAACCAAAACATATTCTTGTGTGTAAATATCAGCATAGACTGTAGTGCCAAGGTATTTGGTAAAAAAGTTTGATTTAGTCAGTATAACCACTCCCTGGTGTCCAATAAAATAAATAATCTTTTCTTCCATTTGTCCACTATTGATATTATCTTCTTTTCCAAAAATGCAAATTTGCCCTTTTTCATTTATGATTTCTTTTATCTTCTCGTCTCACCCTGACTGTCTCTTTGCTCCTTTCCTACCACCTCTCCACTCTCCACACAAGCAGCCAATGAGGTAATCAGTCAGCTTGTTACATTCTGATCAGTGATCCGATACGACTATTGATTCTGGCTTTCGTGTCCCAGTGCAGGGGTCAGTCAGTCATGAGCCTCAGAGCTGCTTTTAGGAGCCACGAACAGATGCTGACGGGGCTCTTTCACAGCTATTGTCATAAACAGAAAATATGGACAGTCATACAAATGCATTGCCAAAGCAACTGCCGGAGTTGAATGTTGTCTTTTGGCTGCATAGAAAATCAGATATTCAGGTCAAACTTTGATCAACAACGGATGAAAACATCATACAGCTTCCATGAACGGCATAATGACATTACTGCGCATTGTTTACCCGTCACCACAATACAGACAAAAGCGTAAAAGAAGAGAAGTTAAAAGAGCATTATTATGAAGCAAACATGACATGAAATCATATGTTGGTCGGTCAACAGAAAATCTCGCAAACTTATGAATGGATTTCCATGAAATGTGGAGGTCAGTTAGGCTTCAGGGGAAGATAGAAACTGATTAAAGTGGCAATCAGGATCTGGGACTCCTGCCATGAGATGATTATTGTGTTTCAGCCATTTGAGGCCTGATTTAATGGCCACATGCCCTACACTTGTTATTGTGAACACCGGCGTGACACAGCCTGATCATCTGCAGCTGACGGGGGTAAACACATCAGTCTGTCCTAACAGGGAGCCCCAGGAGGACAGATGGTCAAAGTCTTCCCTGGGGGACACAGGGGAGGATTCTGGCTGAAATTGGTGAAACAACAGGGTGGGGGTTTATTCAGATGTCCCACCCCCTTTTAAGTTGATAATGTTTCTAGGATAATGTATAAACTTCACAAATCTAACAGATATGGAGGGCTGAATAGGGATTGAGACGGAATAAGATCTGTGTTGAATAAATGCAGGATACCGGTGTGACAATGAAATTCAATCCAGGGAGAAAGAGAGTTATCACAGTGGTAACTTTCGACATATGAATGGCATTCATTTAGCAGCTGTTTAGCATAGACTGTAAATAGGAACCAGAGAAATTGCCCCTTACTGGCAGAAAGAATGCAAGTTTAAGGCACTTCTGCTTTGGCTTCACTCTTCAGATCTGGAGGTTTTTGTCTGGTATTTTGTCAATAACTGAAATATCGGACAAATCATAATTTTGACCTAATGATGGCACTAGATGAGCTAAAGGACCACCAAAGTGATCCTAATATCCTGAAGAGGAACATGAATGTAGGAACTAAATTTCATCGCAATTCATGTAATAGTTGTCGGGACATTTTATTCAAAACCACAAAATCAACCTCATGGTGGCGCCAGAGGAAAAGTCAGGGGATCACCAAAGTCCCTAGGATTCATCCTCGTGCAACCACGTATGTATGTGCCACATTTAATGGCAAATCTTTGCATGGTTATTGAGATATTTCAGTCTGGACCAAAGTACTGGACTGACCGACCACCTTTGCCATACAGTCACGCGGCTAGTGTGTCTACAAATCAAGGAAAGGCTTATAGAAACAGGCAC